TCTAAATTATGCTTAATAAAAGTAGAATATTCTTCAGTATATTCTTACCAAGAATATACCAAAATGCATTATACTTCTACCATATATACAATTTTCCTTTTGATAAGAATGGTGTGAAATCAAATGTATCAGAATTCCTGTGTTTGTTAACCAGAAACATGAAAGACACAATAGCAAATTTATACGTGGGTGGTGCTTTATGCATCCCAAAAGGAAGGATTGTATTTGGGAGTATTTGATGCATATTTTCCTAACATTATCTGGTAATAAAAGTCTAAATAAAGTAGTAGGCAAAATTGGCTCAACACAACAAACCAGAAGAATTTAAAAGAATTATAGATATGTTATTTAATTAAAAACATAATTTGTCTCAAATTTGGGATATTTGTGGTATTTTTAGCTTTTGAAAGCAATTTTATTAATTTTTCATTCAAACAAATATTCACTTTTTTTTTAACCTACCTTTGCAGTCAAAACTTAATTTTTTTCTATTAAAGAGGGACTGAAAGTTAAGGATTGCTAAGTTCCGCATATCTTAAACCCAAACCTTTCTTTTAATTGCTTATTTCGTGTTAATAAATATTCTGTGCTGTATATCTGTGCTTTTATTTGGCTAAAAATGTATTTAATATTTTGGCCTTTTTTTTTTTTTTTTTTTTTTGCTGGATTTTGAATTCTAGGTTTTGAATTATTTTAACCCCTTAAAGATATTTTTCTTCTGGTTTCCCTTTTTCTGTTGAAGTCTGCTGACATTCTGATTGTCATTCCTTTTTAGTTAAACTCTTTTTATTCTGGCTGCTTTTTCTTTAGTTTTAGCAATTTTACTGTGATATGATGTGTCTTAGTTATAGGTCATATTGTCTTGAATCTGTGACTTAATGTCTTTCAATTTTTTATGGAAAATCCCATTATTATTGCTCCTGCCCCTACTAACTCTCTTCTCCTTCTAGAACCCCAAAAGTGTAAATTTATATTGGAATTATTTTATACATCCTTTTATTCACTATTTTTCTTGTTTTCCTTTTTTTGCTGCTGTATGCTTTGCTCTGGAGATTTCCTTTTGAAATGACTTTCAATTTGTTATTCTTCATATAGCTTTGTATAATATAATTTAATCCATCCATTAAACCCCTATCTTTTGTTTTCATTTTCTTTCAAAATTCTCATTTTTAAATTATTTCCTTGAATGTATTAAGCAGAGCTATTTTAAAGTCTATAATTTATTGCTCCCTGACTTGTATCAGCTATGATTCTGGGACTATTGTATATCATTCTTCATGGATTTTGGCCATGTTTTCTTTTTCTCTAGCATGTTTGAACATTTTCTTTTGAATGCAAGGCATTTTAATAAATATGCTAGAGATAACTTGAAGTATATGGTTATTTTATTTTCTTCCACAGAGAATTTATTTTTTTCCCTTGAAAAATGTTAACGGCACTAGAAAATCGAGATAACCTTCATTCTTTCAGGGAATATGAGAATTTCAAGTAGTGCTTTACCTCTGAGAGGGGAGAACTGTTTCCAGTTCACTATTACCCTAAAAATACAAATTTTCAAAGTCTCGATTTATGGAGTAAGTTTAAAATCTCTTAGAGGATTTTAAAGTCCAATATAATAACCTAATTTTATGAGTCTGTCAGAAATTCTGCTTAAAGAAAACAAAACAAAAGAAATACATATAGAAAAGAAAGACATGAAGAATGTCTCTATTTAAGAACTGCAAGGTTAGCTTCATAGTAAATCCCAAGAAATCTACCAAGATATTCTCCAAAACTACTGAGTTTAATGATTTCACAAGATGAAAAGTAAGCACACAAAATCAATTATATATACTAGCAATGTACAATTTGGAAATTAAAACAAAAAATTTATAGTTGCAGCAAAAATTAGACATCAAAAATCTAACAAAATATGTACATGAATTCAAAATTGAAATATTTTTAAAATGTAAATAAAAGTCAATCTAAACAAATGGAGAGAAATACTGTAGAAAATTTAACATAATAAAGGTTTCAATTCTCCTCAAATTGATCTATAGACTTAATGAAATATCAATCCAAATTTTAAAACATCATTTTATAGATATAAACAAACTGATTCTAAAATCTATGTGGAAGGGCAAAGAAACTAAAATAGCTAAAAAATAAAAAATGTTGAAAAAGAAAAGGGGAAGTGAATTTGACACTTTTCAAAAGTATTGTTAAGATAATGTGTTATTAGTGAAGGATAGCACACGAATCAATGGAATAAAAAATAAAGTATAGAAATACATTTATAAAAATATGGCCATTTGATTTTTTTACAAATATGTAAAAAAAAGTTTTACATATTTGTAAATAAATCAATAAAGTATAATATTTTTAAAAAATTGGTATGGAGCAATTGGATATCAATGTGCAATAAAAAATGAACTTTGACTTAAATTTCTCATCTTATACAAAAACTCAACATGAATTATAGAACTAAATATGAAACATCAAATAATAAAACTTTTATAAGAAAACATAGGAAATATACTCCTGACTTAAGGTTCTGTGAAAAGCCTCTAAACATCACAACAGGAGCATGACCCACAAAGGAAAACAACTAAAAATTAGATTTTATCAAAATTAGAAATTTTTGCTCTGTGAAAATTACTGTTAAAAAAATGAAAAGACAAACTAAAAAGTGGGAGAAAAACATCTGCAAATCACATATAAGACAAACGACTTGTATCTAAACTATATAAATAACTCTTCTTCCCTGTCCTGAAGTAGAATGTGTAAAGGAAGAAGACTAGGGATTACACTATTTGGTCTCCTTCCTCATGGGAAGAAAAAAGAAAACATTAGAAGTTGAGAAGGAGTGTTCAGTGCTAATATTCACCAGTTTTTTGTTCTCTTAACTATTGAACTTAATTATTAATCTTGTTGTCAACTAGGGCTGATAATTTCCCTCTTAGGGGAAGAGAGAAATCATCAGAGAAGGGTCTTACTCCTATCTTAACAAAATCACTCTTCTAAGATTGGCCACTGCTCTTTTATATATTATGTATTATCCTGGGACAACTTGCAGACATGAGATTTTACTCTAGCAAATTCTGAAGTTTCTCAGAAGGAAGCATTAATTAAATCAATTCCACTCTGCACCCAAAGCTGAAAACCAAACTCATCCTTTTCTTTATATTGGTTTCCAAGTTACATCCAGCAACATTACCCAAAATAGCACATCATAGATCCTGCAATGAGATTAAATGACAACATGAAGATACTCCAATAATGAAATGCCAACATAGAGATGCAACAGAATTGAATATAAACCCCTTTCTATTATCAAATTCCCAGAGAGAAAAGATCAGAGATTAAATTTCCTTGCAAGTTGAAGTCCAAAAACATTCAATTCCAAAGTAACTGAACTTCAAAATTTAATTTTCTTACTTTTAGAGTTAAAAGCACAAAGTCCGAAGAACTTCCTCCCAGTTTTTCATTTTGCTCATCCTTAACCAGAGAAGTTCCCACTGCTTGGATGTAATTTGACTTGGCCTCTTTCTCAATTAAGTATGTTTTTTTTTTTTTGTTTTTTTTTTTTTTTTCGTCTTAGAAGTTGAATTAGTTCAGTATTAAGTTTCTCATGTTCTTCAAATGTAAATGATCCAAAAAGTTAACAATATAATCAGTATTTCCATATTTTCATTGGCCTGTGGCCCCAAAGAATTTATAAAATAACCTAATTTACAGGCTTTTTAGCGGTAATTCCAGAAGAGATTATGCACACAAAACAGTGCTTAGTATTCCAATCCAGCCATGCAGATAATCAGGGTTATCTGAATAAAGATGGGTGGATGGAGAAGGATGTTAATCACTTGTGAATATAAACTCAACTGAGACAAACATTGCATAAAGAGGATAGTATTGTCACTGTGCTTTTACCACATCTGGAGGAGAAGAGAAAATCTTTCAATACATATTGCCTTATATCCAAAAGAGTGGCTTTTGAAATAATACTTCCATTGAACAAGATTAAAAATTTTCAATGATGGCTTGAGTTCCACACATTGATAAAGCCCAAGCACCTTCACTGTAACACAGAAGGGAAAACTCAAACTAATGGGCAATCTCCAAGGAGCACCAGGATTCCAGAAACATTGTGCTCGTGTTAGGCTAGATTCCTTTAACAAAGACACAACTAAGACAGTGGGAGATACAAAGGAATTTACATAAAGGTATATAAGAAATGTCCAAGCAAGTGAACTAAGAACAGTCTTATTTAAAATGCAACCTAAATTTCATTTTTTTAAATCACATTTATAAGTTACACAACTTTTTCTAACCTTCTCCCCAAACCACCTTCTCCAAAATGAAACTCCTATGGGACAAATAGATTTGCTTTTAATATTTACTTTGTTTGAATACGTCTTTTTTTTTCACCCTAGTATCCTTAACATATGAAGGGGGCCTATAATGAGGCAACTAGGAGGAAAGTCTGCACAGCTCAGTCCTAGTGATTCCTTATGCTGTAATACAATTGACCAAACTCCATCTGTGTTCTTGGCTGCCCACACTTGTGGTTACAAAAGCACACACTCTACCGTCTGCAGTCTCACCTTTTGTGACTGCTGGGCTTTTGCACACTGTCCTGGAACCTATACATGTTCTTTTGGATTCACTAGATTACCCTTCATTTTTCCTAATGAAATTTAATAGGAGTGGTGGGGCCAAGATGGCCAACTAGAAGCAGCAGCAGTCAGAGGCTTCCACTGAAAAGAGCCAAAACAGTGTTCAAATCCTGTAATGGCAACCAAGGTATACAGGTTCTATCATCAAGACTGACTAGGTGATTGGCATAACCCATGGAAAGCAAAGAAAAGCAGTGTGGTGGCCAGGCACTGTGGCTCACGCCTGTAATCCCAGCACTTTGGGAGAACAAGGCGGGCAGATCACAAGGTCAAGAGATCAAGATCATCCCAGTCAACGTGGTGAAACCCCGTCTCTACTAAAAATACAAAACTTAGCTGGGCATGATGGCGCGCTGGGACTGCCTGCTTTATGAGCCATCTGAGTTCTTTGTGGGAAGAACGGCAGCCATTACTGTGGCTCCTAGTTGCCAAAGACACTAAGCGCTCATGGGGGAAAGGGTGGCAGCTTAGTAAGTGCCTAAGACAAGTGAGCTCTTCAAGGGAGAGTGGCCATCATCACCCCAGCTGCCTGGCACCTAAAGAAACTGAGCTCCCTGGGAGAGAGACAACAGCCATCACTGTTGTTCTTAGCTGTGTGGGGGACGCATGGCAACACATTTAAGCTTATGTACATGGCATCTGAGGTTGGGGCATAGAAAAATACTGAGGCACTGTGTGTATGTTATTTGTGCATGGGAATGAAACTCCTTGACCCTGAAAACAGGACAGGGAGTGGAGTGTGTGGTGTGATAAGGAATGCTGAAAAGAGCTTCCTGAGAATGCAGTTTCAGTGTGTACAAGTTACAGGTGCTTCAGCAACCCACCTCAAATGGCATCTACTTGATGTTTGTAGTTAATACAAGCCCTTTCAATAAATACTTGGCTGACGGATGCTGGGACAGACTCTCTCAGAGGAGCTACCCATTAACCCCACTCAGGTGGAATTGTTTGCATACTTTATTCTTGGCATTCACTGCAATTATAAGCTTTGCAAGTGGTGCCCCTGACATGATCGCCTTGAAGTTACGCATGAAGGGGGAGAGCTCATCAACCCCTGTAAAGGACAGTCCTGACTCCCATCAGGAGAATGAGACATATAAGTAGAATATCAGGGATTAGGTTATCATGGGTCAAGAAGTGACCAAAAAGCAGAAAGTGTTTTTTAAAACAGCGCAATAGCTACTTAAGCCTATCCAGTGCACTGTAGAGCCTGGAGCTCTACGCAAGCTTATGCTCTTAATTTGGCAAGAATGCCCTTGATTTCCTGATCAAGGAACCTTAGAGGTATGGGAGCAGGTAGGTCACTGCCTGAAAAGAGGATACGAGAAAAGTCATATTACTGATATTACTATTTTAACCACCTGGGCACTGGTATGCTCTGCATTGTCTCCTCTTTATCTGCCAGATTGTGGTGAGTCAGACCGCCCATCTTCTCCACCTGAAGGGAATTCAGGAGATTTAAAGGAGAAGGAAAAACAGAAATCACAACAGGGAGAGACTTCTCTCCCCTCTTCATTCCTTCTATGAGGAATAAGAAAGATATTTTTCTAGTGAGGATAAGAACAGATGAGAGGCTTTTCTTCCCCCTGTAGAAAAGCTATTGCCCTCTTTTCCTCCACTCTTAAAGGAAGCTTCATTCCTTGGCCGCATTCAGCCAGCAGTACCTGCCATCTCCCTTGAGGATACTGGAGGCTGCCCAAGGGATGGTTCCTGGATAAGACCCCCTGTCAGCAAACATCTTTATGATTGGGTGGCCACATCTCCTTGACAAATTTCCCTGCTGGAAAATGCCTCCAGGAGGGAAAGAAAGTGGCTGATTATAATTGTCTTCCTAATATGCAAGTTCTCACTTCGTACTTCTAGCATCAGCCTTTCTGCCTTGTCTTTTTTCTGTTTCCCTGGATTACAAAGGAAAATTGCATACTGCCTCCTGGGTTTTATCGGACGTAGCGCTGGCTTTCTTGCTGCCCACAGAGGCCTGGGGAAGGAGAGTTGCTGAGATGCCATGGAGTGCCCATTTTGTCACTAGCAGTCTGGGCAGGTTTCCCTTTTCTGGGTTTTTGATGATGAAGGGGAGACCAAGAGGCACAGACCGAGTCCCCAGGTGGCTGCAGGCAGCTCCAGCCCAGTCCCGAGAATCCTCCTCACCATGGTCACGTGCCTTAGTAACTGTGCCCAATGTCAGCTGACAAGCAATTCCTTGCCTTCCCTGGGCCCCTGGGGAAAGGGCTAGGAAATAATTCATGTGCACCCCAACCTTATTAGCCTAGGGTGGGCAGAGGAGTGTGGAGCAGCCTAGAGTACAGAGGTCTGGAGGAGAAGCCCACTAATAAGGGGTGCACTCCCATAGCCATATGTTAAATGCTATAAATCTATAAGCTTTGCAAGTGGCGAGGTGGAGGAGCTCTGACAGCTGCCATCATCTTCAGAAGATAGACGCAGCAGTAAGGAATGTTTGTTTCACTTTTTTATACACTGTTTAAAAGCACTGTGGCTGGAAACTTCAAAACAGACCCTGTGCTGCATGTCTGCTCCTCCCCTGAGCCTCTCTGCTTGGGGGTAGCAAAAACAATTAAAAAGCCAGTATATTTTCAGTACCTTACCTTCCAGGGATGGCTCCAGGCATAGGTGGCTGGGAATATAAAAGGAGTGGTCTTCTCCCAGCCTGTTACCCTCTCACCTCCTGCCTCTGCGCTTACACACGCACTTTACCACCTGGTCACTCTCTGGCCTCTTGCTGCTACTTGTAGTCCTCCTTCCTTCCTTCCTTCCTCTTAGGGTAAGGGCAGCAACAGGTGGCAGGCTATTAAAAGAGGCTGCCTAAAGAGCCTGCAGCAGGTGAAAAGAAACCAGCCACAGCCCTACTTTCCCCACCTCGCTTCTGACATTCCAGCTAAAGGCTATTTCAGGAAAGTGACCAACACCCAGAGACTTTTTAAAAAGTTTTTTGGACTTTTTCTTTTTTTTTTTTTTTTCACTCTTAAGCTAACTCAATGCAGGTTTATTATCCTGGCAACTTGCAGTCACATTCTAATAACTTTCAAGGGCCGGAATATAGTAAAAATTACTAAAAATATCCATCCCTTCCTTTCCTTTAACAGGTAAGCTTTATCTTTTGCCACTTCTTTATTTTATATACTGTGTACCTGTCTCATAACCACTCTAAACATATACAAAAGACACAGATTTAATAGCTTCTCTTCCTGTAAAAGGGCACCAACGTTGCATCCAATTATCAACCCAGCTACTCTTTTCCTACCTTTGAGCAAGGAATAATTTCATACTCTTAGTTTGTGATCTTGATTGGTAAGTAGCAATGGCTGACTTTATTGGTAATATCAGCTTCCATCTACCAGCCTCTAAGCTCCTGAATTTTTTTACAAACTGTGCCTGTTAAATTTGCATCTATTGTTGTCTCTGAGCTTTTGTTTCACGCCACTACTGTCTTTACAGATGGTTCAGAAAAAACAACACAACTATATAGTATGGGAAGATGCCATGCAAAATTGACAACACAAAATCCAAGAGCATTTTAAAACTATGAAATAAATGGAGTTGGGAGCACTAATATAGGCCTTACAAACTTTTTCTCACCAAGACATAAATCTAGTTGGTGATTCTGCTTATGTAGTGCATAGTATTACTCATTTAGATCTTGCACATGTGAAGGGAGTTCATTACTAATGAACTCCTATTCACTTTGTTTCTTGTAGCACAAGAGCTCTTCTGTTCTTTATATCACCCATGTTTGAGAGCTCAAGCTAATCACGGTTCTTTTCATTAGAAAGCCCACAGTCTTAAAAAATAGTTTCATTTAACACTTGCTCAAGCTCACAAGATTATTAAAAGTTGTCTTAATTGCCAATGGCATTCTCTCCTTTTTTGTTATGACTTGGTGGCAACCCACAAGGCTTTGTGCCTAATGCTATCTGGCAGATTGATGTTACTCAGTATCCACTTATATGGGCTTGATACCTGCTAACTCCCAGACCAGAAAAAAAAGTAAAGATGCAGTTACTCATTTGTTTAAATCTATTATGACTTTAGGCCTTCCACAAACTATAAAAACTGATAATGACCCTTGCTATCTTAGTGCTCAATTTGCATATGCATTACAACTTTGCCACATACAACACAAGACTGCCATTCCCTATAACTCAACCCGGTTAGTCCCTTATTAAACAAGCTCATCAAATGCTTAAAATATATCTTAAAAAACAAAAAAGGGGTACTATGGGATTCTTCTCTTGAGAACAGGACCTGTCCTTGGAGAATCGACCAGCAATAATGGTGATGACTTGGAAGACACCTGACATTACTTGAGGACAGCTAAAGAAATTGAATCAACAAGCAACCGTCTGGCTTGCCACCATCAAAGCCCCTGCAACTGCAGATAGCTGGTTTCTTATATATCTGGCTGTAACTGGGCAAACTTCTGAGAAAGCAAGATAGACATGGATGTTAGGGTGGCTGGTAATTCTTGTCCTTTGCCAAGTGGGATCGGCTCAAGAACATGTTTATTGGAGTCATGTTCTAAATCCCCATTTGTAATGTTATTACATGGTGGGATGCTGACCTGCCTTTGTCATCTAATGATACTTCTTGCATAGGTCAATGGATGCCCCTGTCTTACCCCTTAACTGAAAATTTGAGATGAATTAAACTTAATAACTCCTTGACTTTATTGTCTAGTAATCCCCCTTTGTTTTTCCACAATGCACATAAGCATGTTACTTTCATTCCTCAGAAGTATATTTACTATCAGCCCAAAAGGGATGCTAAGCTTGCAAACTTGACTTTTATTTCTGCTGTTACCACTAATCTTCCTGAGGTCTCTAATGAAGCTACCCAAGTGCCTGATCTTCCTATATGCCATCTGAGTAGGGACTGGCAATATACGTTTGAGGCTGTCCAGTGGTCTCCATGCAGGCAAACTCTATCATGCCATGGGCCTCTGTTTGATAACTGGACCTTACTTGATTGGGGCCCCCATGGTTATCTTATGTCTGCAAATCAGACTATTGGATTTGGGAGTCCCTCCAACAGTTCTATCACCTGGTCAGAGAACGAGTTTTCAGGATCAATACTATAACTAAAAGGGAAACAAGATTTAAGCCCTGCTTATACCCAAATTTGGAGAGTAGGACTTCCCTTTTTTGAAAGGGTTTTTTCACATGATGCTTATATTACTAGTGGTGGCAACCATACCCGTTCTTTACAGAATAATGTTACTGATACAATCTTGATTTGTACTATGCACCCTTATATACTCCTGTTGGGCAAGGTGTTCCTATCATAGAGCAGAATCAATCCTTTTGTAGTATTAAAGTCTCTTCCAGTAGCTGGTATGCTTCATCCTTGTCTCATCAAAATATTATATAGTTAAATATAATCTATGTCATGATCTTAATACAGTGAGCAGAATTGTGGCTGCCTGGAAATTTAACCTGGAACTGGGAAGGAGATTGCATCTTGCAGTTATTTAGAAAAGCATATCTGCAAGGGGCTTATCACGACCATTTGTCCTCTCAAATTTCCACTTTTGTGCGTGAATTAAAGAAATAACTTGAAGAATGGTCACAGCAATTGCAAACAAGTATCCTTCAGCAATTACAAGAAGCCCTTCAATGGTTAAACCCAAACACTTGGTTGTCTGAATTAAATGTATGCATTTGGGTGATTGACCACTATACTTACATTCTTTTTAGTATCTGTTTGCTAGGCATCTACAGATGGCTCTGTGCTGCCACCTGACACATCTACAACCAGGGAAGAACACTAGAAGCTTATCTTGCATTAGATGACCAGCATGCTCTAAGAATTAAATAAGCAGATGTGGGGGGTGCACAGCAACACATTTAAGTTTATGTACAAGGCATCTGAGGTTGGGGCATGGAAAAATACTGAGGCAATGTGTGTATGTTATTTGTGCATGGGAATGAAACTCCTTGACCCTGAAAGCAGGACAGAGAGTGGAGTGTGTGGTGTGATAAGGAATGCTGAAAACAGCCTCCTGAGAATGCAGTTTGAGTGTGCACAAGGTCACAGGTGCTTTAGCAACTCACCTCATATGACCATCTAGTTGACGTTTGTAGCCCTTTCAATAAATACTTTGTGGACGGATGCTGGTGCAGACTCTCTCAGAGGAGCTACTCCCTTACTCCGTTCACCTGGAATTGTCTGAGTACTTTATTTTCGGCATTCACTGCAAGTTATAGCTTTGCAAGCTGCCTAAGACGATGAACACAGCAGTGTGGGGCAGGGTGTGGGGGGAGGTTGGGTTGCAGCCATTACTGTAGCTCTAAATCAGTTATTTATTTTTTTTCCTGCTGGTGCTGGGGATACTGAATGGCTTGATCAGTCTTAAGAGGTATTCCCCAAAGTGCAGCACACTGGCTGTAGCAGATCAAGGCCAGGCTGCCTTTTAGGCCAGACCCTGAGCCATCTCTCCTCACTGAGCAGGGCCTCTCTGCAGGAACTCCAGCAACTCCAGCCAGGGGCTTAAAGACAAAACTCTGATCTCCATGGGCCTGAGCCCCAGGGGGAGAGGTGGCCATGGTCTTCATGGACCAGAAGACTTAGTCTTTACCTCTGATAGCTCTGAGGAATCCAGGCAGCCCAGACAAGTGGGTTTCCTTCCAGTGAAGAACATCCCCTGCACCAAAGAACAGTCAAAGTGCTTCATTAAACAGGTCCTGGATCCTGTGCTCCCCAACATAGTGAGACCCCAAATAGGGGTCACTAGACACCTTATATAGGAACGTTTTACTGGCATCAAGTCAGTTCTCCTTGAGTTAGAGATCCCAGAGGAAAAACATGTGTCCAGCTTTGCTTTTCTCCAGTCTCCCTAAGTGACCTCTCCAGATGAGGGAGGAACCCAGGTGAATAGGGCCTGAATTGAACCCCCAGAAAACTGCAGCAGTCCTGCAGAAGAGAGACCTGACTATTGAAAGAAAACCAAACTCCGAAAACAACAGCATCAACAAAAAATCCCCACAAAAACCTAATCCAAGGTCAGCAACCTCAAAGACCGAAATTAGATCAACTCATGAACATGAGAAGGAATCAGTGAAAAAATGCGGAAAACTCAAAAGGCCAGAGTGCCTCTTCTCCTCCAAATGATCACAACACCTCTCCAGCAAGAATGTAAAACTAGACAGAGGATGTGATAAATGAATTGACAGAAGTAGGCTTCAGAATGTGGGTAATAACAAACCTCACTAAGCTAAGAACAATGATAAAAGATTGCAGGAGCTGCTAACTAGAATAACCAGTTTAGAGACAAACATAAATGAACTGATGGAGCTGAAAAACACAGCACAAGACTTTCGTAATGCAGCCACAATCAATCAAGAAGATGAGAGAATATTAGAGCTTGAAGGCTATCTTGCTGAAATAAGAAAGGCAGACAGGAATAGAGAAAAAAGAGTAAAAAGAAATGAACAAAACCTCTGAGAACCATGTGACTATGCAAAAGACTGAACCTACGACTGATTGGAGCACCTAAAAGGAAGAGTAAGAATGGAACCAAGTTGGAAATCACACTTTAGGATAACATCCAGGAGAACTTCCCCAACCTAGCAAGACAGGTTAAGATTCAAATTCAGGAAATACAGAGAATCCCAGTAAGACTTTCCACAAGAAGATCAACCCCAAAACCTATAATCATCAAGGTCAAAATGAAGGAAAAAATATTAAGGGCATAAAGAGAGAAAGGTCAGGTCGCCTACAAAAGCAAGCTCATCAGACTAACACAGGACCTCTCAGCAGAACCCCTACAAGCCAGAAGAGAGTAATGGCCAATATTAAAAATTCCTGAAGAAAAGAATTTTCACCACATAATTTTATTTCCAGCCAAACTAAGCTTCGTAAGTGAAAGAGAAATAACATCCTTTTCAGACCAGCAAAGGCTGAGGAAATTTATCACCACCAGGCCTCCCTTGCAAGAGGTCCTGAGGAAAGCACTAAATATGGAAAGGAAAAAGTGGTACAAGCCACTGCAAAAACACACTGAAGTATAAAGATCTATGACACTATAAAGAGATTGCATTAACTAGTGTGCAAAATAACCAGCTAGAATCATGATGACAGGACCAAATTCACACACAACAATATTAACCTTAAATGTAAATGGATTAAATGTCACAATTAAAAAACATACACTGGCAAATTGGATAAAAAGTCAAGACCCATTGTTGTGCTGTATTCAAAAGGCCCATCTCAAGCACAACATAGACACATAGGCTCAAAATAAAGGGATGAAAGAAAATTTACCAAGAAAATGGAAAGCAGAAGAGAGCAGGGGTTCTAATCCCAATTTCTAACAAAACAGACTTTAAACCAACAAAGATCAAAAAAAGAATGGCATTATATAATGGGAAAGGAGACAATTCAACAAAAAGAGCAAACTCTCTTAAATATATATGCACCCAATACTGAAGCACCTAGATTCATAAAACAAGGTTTTAGAGACCTACCAAGAGACTTACACTCTGAATCAATAATAGTGGGAGTCTTTCACACCCCACTGACAATATTAGACAGATCATCCAGGCAGAAAATTAACAAGGATATTCTGGACTTGAACTCAGCTCTGGATCAAGTGGATCTAATAGGTATCTACAGAACTCTCAACCCCAAAACAACAGAACATACATTTTTCTCAGTGCCACATGGCATTTACTCTAAAATAGATCACATAATTGGAAGTAAAACACTCCTCAGCAAATGCAAAAGAACTGAAATTGGTTCCTGGGCAAGATGGCTGAATAGGAACAGCTCCTTTCTACAGCTCCCAGACAGACCAATGCAGAAGGCATTGGTGATTTCTGCATTTCCAACTAAGATACCTGGCTCATCTCATTGGGACTGGTTAGACAATGAGCATAGACCATGGAGGGTGAGCAGAAGCAGAGTGGGGCATTGCCTCACCAAGGAAGTACAAGGGGCTGGGGAACTCCCTCCCCCAAGCCAAGGGAAGCCATGAGGGTAATGTCATGAGGGATGGTACTATCCAGCCCAGATACTCTGCTTTTCCTATGATCTTTAAAACCCACAGACCAGGAGATTTCCTCAGGTGCCTACATCACAAGGGCCCTGGGTTTCAAGCACAAAACTGGGCAGCCATTTAGGCAGACACTGAGCTCGATGCAGGAGTTTGTTTTTTTTTAATACCCCAGTGGCACCTGGAATGCCAGTGGGACAGATCCGTTCACTCCCCTGGAAGGGCACCAAAGCCAGGGAGCCCAGTGGTCTTGCTCAGTGGATCCCACCCCCATGGAGCCCAGCAAGCAAAGATACACTGGCTTGAAACTCTAGCTGCCAGTGCGGAAGTCTGAAGTCGATGGGAGACACTCGGGCTTAATGGGGGGAAGGGCATCTGCCATTACTGAGGCTTGAGTAGGCAGTTTTCCCCTTACAGTATAAACAAAACCACTGGGAAGTTTGGACTGGATGGAGCCCACCTCAGCACCACAAAGCTGCTATAGAGAGACTGCCTCTTTAGATTTTTCCGCTCTGAGAAGGCATCTCTGAAAGAAAGGCAGCAGTACCAGTGAGGGGTTTATAAATAAAACTTCCATCTCCCTGGGACATAGCACCTGGGGGAAGGAGCGGCTGTGGGCACAGCTTCAGCAGACTGAAATGTTCCTGCCTGCCAGCTCTGAAGAGAGGAGTGGATCTCCCAGCACAGTGCTCAAGCTCTGCTAAGGGACAGACTGCCTCCTCAAGTGAGTCCCTGACCCCTGTACCTCCAGACAAGGAGATACCTCCCAGCAGGGGTTGACAGACACTTCATATAGGAGAGCTCCAGCTGGCATCTGGTGGGTGCCTTCTGGGACAAAGCTTTCAGAGGAAGGAGCAGGTAGCAATTTTTTTTGTTCTGCACCCTCTGCTGGTAATATCCAGGCAAACAGGCTCTGGAGTGGACCCCCAGCAAACTCCAGCAGTGAACACACACTTCAGGATACTATCCAGGAGAACTTCTCCAACCTAGCAAGGCCAGCATTAAAATTCAGAAAATACACAGAACATCACAAAGATACTCCTCAAGAATAGCAACCCCAAGACACATAATCTTCAGATTCACAAAGGTTGAAATTAAGGAAAAAATGTTAAGGGCATCGAGGAAAAAGTCAGGTTACCCACAAAGGGAAGCTGATCAGACTAGCAGTGGATCTCTCTGCAGAAACCCTATAAGCCAGAAGAGAGTGGGGGCCAATATTCAAGTCTTAAGAAAGTAAAAATTTTCAAACCAGAATTTCCTAACCAGTGAAACTAAGCTTCGTAAGTGAAGGAGAAATAAAACCCTTTACAGATAAGCAAATGCTGAGGGATTTTGTCACCACCAGGCCTGCCTTACAAGAGCTCCTAAAGGAAGCAATAAATATTGAGGGGGGGGGGGGACATTACCAGCCACTGCAAAAATGTACCAACGTGTAAACACCATCAACACTATGAAGAAATTGCATTAACTAATGGGCAAAATAACCAGCTAGCACCATAATGACAGGATTAAATTCACACATAACAATATTAACCATAAATGTAAATGGGCTAAATGCCCCAATTAAAATGCACAGACTGGCATATTGAATAAAGAGTCAAGACTTATTGGTGTGTTGTATTTGGGAGATCCATCTCATGTTCAAAGACATACACAGGCTCAAAATAAAGAAATGGAAAAAGATTTATCAGGCAAATGGAAAAAAAAAAAAGAGCAACAGAGATTGCAATTCTACTCTCTGATAAAACAGACTTTAAACCAACAAAGATCAGAAAGAAAAAGAAAGGCATTACATAATGGTAATGCAACAAAAAGAGCAAACTACTATAAACATAAATGCACCCAATACAGGAGCACCCATGTTCATAAAGTAAGTTCTTAGAAACCTACAAAAAGACTTAGACTTCCATGCAATAATACTGGGAGAACTTAATACCCCACTGTCAATATTAGGCAGATCAATGAGACAGAAAATTAATAAGAATATTCAGGACTTGAGCTCAGCTCTGAACCAGGCAGATTTAATAGACATCTACAGAACTCTCTACCACAAATCAACAGAACACACATTCTTCTGAGTAACACATGCATTTATTCTAAAATTGACTGCACAATTGGAAGGAAAACATTCCCCAGCAAATGCAACGGAACAGAAATCATAACAGTCTCTCAGACCACAGTGCAATCAAATTAGAATTCAGAATTAAGAAACTCACTCAAAACTGCACAACTACATGGAAACTGAGCAACCTGCTCCTGAGTGACTACTGGGCCAACAATGAAATTAAGGCAGAAATAAATAAGTTCTTTGAAATCAATGAGGACAAAGACAGAATGTACCAGAATTTCTGGGACTCTGCTACAGCAGTGTTTACAGAGAAACTTATAGCACTAAATGCCCACAGGAGAAAGTGGGAAAAATCTAAAATCAACACCCTAATATCACAGTTAAAAGAACTAGAGAAGCAAGATAGATATACAAATTCAAAAGCTATCAGAAGACAAGAAATAACTAAGATCTGAGCAGAACTGAAGGAGATAGAGACAAAAAAACACTTCAAAAAAATCAATGAATCCAGGAGCTCTTTTTTTGAAAAGATCAACAAAATAGACTGCTAGCCAGATGTGCACCTAAATGGAATATCAGGGACTTTACCCCCTCAGCACTCCAGTTCAGACACTGTGCTTCTCCCATGGCTGTTGCAACCCACAGTCCAGGAGAATGCTGCTGGGCTGAAAAACACTGCAAGTTACCAACACAGATCTTAGTTATAGCTCCAGCTGGCCTGGCACCACAAGCTGTCGGCACAAAGCTGGGCAGAAGTTTTGACTAGCAGCGAGAGCACCAACAGGACAGATCGACCTTCCCCCCAGAAATAGGAAGAGCTGAAAGCAGGGAGACAGGTGATATGGCTTGGCAGGTCGCATCCCCACAAAGACTAGTAAACTAAAGCCCTCCTTCTTGAGAGTTTTGCAGCCAGCACATCAAGTCGAGCTCAACCCAGGATGATCAAGCTCAGAGTGGGGAAGGGCATCCACCATTGCAAAGGCAGGTCTAATCTCACCTGTGTAAAGAAAAGCCTACACAGCAGCTGGGTTGAGTCCAAGGCAGCCCAGTGGCACCTCTGCAGGCAGAAAAGGGATAGACTACCACCTCAAGCAGCTCCCTGATCCCTGTATAACAAAGAAAAAAAAAAAGCCTCATAAAGCAGAGGGGCCTGATGGTTAGAAGAAAAACTAAAAAACAAAAAGAAATAGATTCAACATTAATATAAAGGATGTCCACTCAGAGATACTATCTGAAATCACCAGCTTCAAAGATCAAAGGTAGATAAATCCATGATGATGGGAAGAAATCAGCATAAAAAAGGATGAAATTATCAAAGACCAGAACATCTCTCCTCCTCTAAGCAATCCCAACTCCTCACCAGCAAGGAAACAAAACAGGATGGAGAATGAGTTTGACAAACTGACAGAAGCAGGCTTCAGAAGGTGGGTAATAAAAAATTTCTCTGAGCTAAAAAAACATGTTGTAACCCAATGCAAAGAAACTAAGAACCTTGAAAAAAAGGTTTGAGGAAATGCTAACTAGAACAACCAGCTTAGAGAAGAACATAAACAACTTGATGGAGCTGAAAACACAGTATGAGAACTTCACAAAGAATATACAAGTTTCAGTAGCCAAATTAATCAAGCAGAAGAAAGGATATCAGATATTGACATCAACTACATAAAATAAAATGAGAAGGCAAGATTAGAGAAAAGAGAGTGAAAAGAAATAAAGCCTCCAAGATATATAGGATTATGTGAAAAGACCTAATCTACGCTTGATCAGTATACCTGAATATGATGGGGAGAATGAATCCAAGCTGAAAAACACTGTTCAGGGTATTATCCAGGAGAACTTCCCCAACCTAGCAAGGCAGGAAAACATTAAAATCCAGGAAATACAGAGAACACCACACCCCAGGGCACATCATCGTCAGATTCACCAGGATTGAAACAAAGGAAAAAATGCTAAGGGCAGCCAGAAAGAAAGGTTGAGTAACCCACAAAGAGAAGCCCATCAGATTCATAGCAGATCTCTCATCAGAAACCCTACAAGGCAGAAGACAGTGGGGGCCAATATTGAACATCCTTAAAGAAAAGAAATTTCAACCCAGAATTTCATATACAGCTAAACTAAGCTTCATAAATGAAGAAGAAATAAACTCCTTTATGAACAAGCAATTGTTGAGAGATTTCGGTGCCACCAGACCCACCTTACTGGAGCTCCTGAAAGAAGTACTAAACATAGAAAGGAAAAACCAGTACCAGCCACTGCAAAAATGTACCAAATGGTAAAGACCAATGATGCAGTGAAGAAACTGCATCAACTAACAGGCAAAAAAAACCAGCCAGTAACAAAATGGCAGGATCAAATTCACATATAACAATATTAACATTAAATGTAAGCTGCCTAAATGCCCCAATCAAAAGACACAGACTGGCAAACTGGATAAAATGTCAAGACCATTGGTGTGCTGTATTCAGGAGACAAATCTCATGTACAAAGACACACATACACGCAAAATAAAGGGATGGAAGAAGATTACCAAGCAAATGGAGAGCAAAATAAAGCAGGAGTTGCAATACTAGTCTCTGATAAAACAGACGTTAAATCAACAAAGATCAAAAGAGACAAAGAAGGGCATTACATAGTGGTAAAAGAATCAGTGCAACAGGAAGAGCTAACTATCCTAAATATACATGCACCCAATACAGGAGCACCCAGATATATAAAGCAAGTTCTTAACAACCTATAAAGAGACTTACACTCCCACAAAATACTAGTGAGAGACTTTAACACTCCACTGTCAATATTAGATCAATAAGACAGAAAATCAACAAGGATATCCAGGACTTGAACTCAGATCTGGACCAAGCAGACCTAACAGACATCTACAGAACTCTCCACCCCAAATCCAGGGAATATACTTTTTTCTCAGGACCACTTTGCACTTACTCTAAACTTGACCACATAATTTGAAATAAATCACTCCTCAGCAATTGCTAAAGAACGGAAATCATGACAAACAGTCTCTTAGACCATAGTGCAATCAAGTTAGAACTCAAAATTAAGAAACTCACTCAAAATAGCAAAACTACATGCAACCGAACAACTGGCTCCAGAATGATGACTGGATAAACAATGAAATGAAGGCAGAAATAAAGATGTTCTTTGAAACCAATGGGAGCAAAGACACAACGTACCAGAATCTCTGAGACACATTTAAAGCGGTGTCTAGAGGGAAATTATAGCACTAAATGCCCACATAATGAGGAAAGATCTAAAATTGACACCCTATTGTCAAAATTGAAAGAACTACAGATGCAAGATCAAAAAAACTCAAAAGCTAACAGAAGACAGGAAATAATTAAGATCAGAGAAAAACTGAAGGAGATAGAGACACAAAAAACCCTTCAAAAAATCAATAAATCCAGGAGCTGTTTTTTTTAAAAGATCAACAAAATAGACCACTAGCCAGACTAATGCAAAAGAAAAAAGAGAAGAATCAATTGCATACAATAAAAAACTATAAAGTGGATATCACCACTGATTCCACAGAAATACAAACTACCATCAGAGATTACTACAAACAACTCTATGCATATACACCAGTAAATCTAAAAGAAGTTGATAAATTCCTGGATACTTATACCCTCCCAAGACTGAACCAGGAAGAAGTTGAATCCCTGACTAGATCAATAACAAGGTTAAGGCAGCAATTAATAGCCTACCAACCAAAAAAAAGTCCAGGTCCAGACAGATTCACAACTGAATTCTAACAGAGGTACAAAGAGGAGCTTCTGCCATTTCTGCTGAAACTATTCCAAACAGTACAAAAAAAGTGAATCCTTCCTAACTCATTTTAGGAAAAGAATATCATTGATACCAAAACTCAGCAGAGACACAAGTAAAAAAGAAAACTTCAGGCCAATATCCACAATGAACATTGATGTGAAAATCTTCAATAAAATACTGGCAAACCAAATGCAACAGCACATCAAAAAATCTTATCCATCACGATCAAGTAGGCTTCATCCTAGAGATGCAAGGCTGGTTCAACCTATTTAAATCTATAAACATAATCCATACATAAACAGAAACAAAGACAAAAACCACATAATTATCTCAATAGATGCAGAGAAAGCCTTCTACAAAATTCAGCAGTCTTTTATGCTAAAAACCATCAATAAACTAGGTATTAATGGAATGTATCTCAAAATAATAAAAGCTATTTATAACAAACCCATAGCCAATATCATACTGAATGGGCAAAAAATGGAAGCATTCCCTTTGAAATCTGGCATAAGACAAGGATGCCCTCTCTCACCACTCCTGTTCAGTATAGTATTGGAAGTTCTAGCCAGAGCAATCAGGCAAGAAAAAGAAATAAAATGTATTCATTAGGAAAACAGAAAGTCAAATTGTCTCTATTTGCCAACAACATCATTGCATATTTGGAAGACCCCACTGTCTCAGCCCAAACTCTCCTTAAAATGATAAGCAACTTCAGCAAAGTGTCAGGGTACAAAATTAATGTGCAGAAATCACAAGCATTCCTGTGCACCAATAACAGACAAACAGAGAGCCAAATCATGAGTGAACTCCCATTCACAGTAGCTACAAAGAGAATAAAATGCCTAGGAATACAATTAACAAAGGATGTGAAGGACCTCTTCAGGGAGAACTGCAAATCACTGCTCAAGAAAAGGACACAAACGATGGAAAAACATTCCATGCTCATGGTTAGGAAGAATCAATATGAAAATGGCCATACTGCCCAAAGTAATTTAGATTTGATGCTATCCACATCAAGCTACCATTGATCTTCTTCACAGAAGTGGAAAAAACCACCTTAAACTTCATCTGGAACCAAATGAGAGCCTGCACAGCCAAGACAATCATAAGCAAAAAAAACCAAACAAACAAACAAAAAAAACAAAGCTAGAGGCATCATGCTACCTGACTTCAAACAACACTACAAGGCTATAGTAATCAAAACAGCATGGTACTGGTACCAAAACAAAGATATAGATCAATTAAACAGAACAAAATCCTCGGAAGCAATGCCACACTTCTACAACCATCTGATCTTTGACAAACCTGACAAAACCAAGTAATAGGGAAAGGATTTCCTGTTTAATAAATGATGTTGGGAAAACTGGCTAGCCATGTTCAGAAAGCTGAAATTGGACTCCTTTCTTACATCTTAGACTAAAATTACCCCCAGATGGATTAAAGATTTAAACATAAGACCTAACACATTAAAAACCCTGGAAGAAAACCTAGGCAATACCATTCAGGACATAGGCATAGGCAAGGACTTCATGACTAAAACACCAAAGGCAATGGCAACAACAGCCGAAATAGACAAATGGGATCTAATTAAATTTAAGAGTTTCTGCACAGCAAAAGAAACAATCACTAGAGTGAACTGGCAGCCAAAAGAATGGGAAAAAATTTTTGCAATCTACCCATCTGACAAAAGGCTAGTATCCAGAATCTACAAAGAACTAGAACAAATTTACAAGAAAAAAAAAAAAAACCATTCAAAAGTGGGTGAAGGATATGAACAGACACTTTTCAAAAGAAGACATATATGAGGTCAGCAAACATATGAAGAAATGCTCATCATCACTGGTCATTAGAGAAATGCAAATCAAAACATTGAGATATCATCTCACACCACTTAGAATGGGGATCATTAAAAAATCTAGAGACAACAGATGCTGGAGAGGATGTGGAGAAATAGGAACACTTTTACACTGTCGGTGGGAGTGTAAATTAGTTCAACCATTGTGGAAGACATTGGTAATTCCTCAAGGACCTAGAAGTAGAAATACCATTTGACCCAGTAATCCCATTACTGGGTATATATCCAAAGGATTATAAATCATTCTATTTAAAGACACAGGCACATGTATGTTCATTATGGCACGTTTACAAGAGCAAAGACCTAGAACAAACCCAAATGCCCATCAATGATAGACTGGACAAACAAAATGTGGCACATATACACCATGGAATACTATGCAGCCATAAAAAAAATGATGAGTTTGTGTCCTTTGTAGGGACATGGATGAATCTGGAAAGCATGATTCTCAGCAAACTGACACAAGAACAGAAAACCAAACACGACATGTTCTCACTCGTAAGTGGATGTTGAACAATGAGAACACATGGGCAAAGGGAGGGGAACACCAAACACTGGGGTATGTTAGGGGGTGGGAGGCTAGGGGTGGGGCAGTGGGGGATGGGGATGTTGGGGAGGGATAACACTGGAAGAAATGCCTGATGTGGTTGACAGGGTATGCAGACAGAAAGCCACCATGGCATGTGTGTACCTATGCAACAATCCTGCAAGATCTGCATATGTACCACAGAACTTAAAGTATAAATTTTTTAAAAAAGAAAGAAAATAAAAAACAAAATTTTACATGAGTAGAAAAAGAGAAAGAAAATGACCATACTGCCCAAAATAGTTTATAGATTCAATACTACTCCAATCAAACTACCATTGACATTCTTCACTGAATTAGAGAAAGAGGTACTTTAAAATTCATATAAAGCTAAAATGAGCCCATATAGTCAAGACAATTCTAAGCAAAAAGAATAAAGCTGGAGGCATTATGCTACCTGTCTTCAAACTACACTACAAGGCTACAGTGACCAAAACAGCATGATACTGGTACCAAAACAGACACATAGACCAATAGATCAGAATAGAGATCTCAGAAATAAGACCACACATCTACAACCTACTTATCTTTGACAAACCTGACAAAAACAAGCAATGGGGAAAGGATTCCCTATTTAATAAATGGTGCTGGGAAATTGGCTAGCCATATGCAGAAAATTGAAACTAGACTACTTTCTTACAACTTATACAAAAATTAACTCCAGATGGATTAAAGACTTAAATGTATTACCCCCAAATCATAAAACCTCTAGAAGAAAATCCAGGTAATACCATTCAGAACATAGGCATGGGCAAAGGTTTTATGATGTAATCATCAAAAGAAATTGCAACAAAAGAAAAAATTGACAATTGAGAAATAATTAAACTAAAGAGTTTCTGCACAATAAAACAAATACAAACAAAAGAAATTATCATCAGAGTGAACAGGCAACCCATATTATAGGAGAAAATTTTTGCAATCTACCCATGTGACTAAGATCTAATATCCAGAATTTACAAGGAACTTCAACAAATTTACAGGAAAAAGATTAACAATCCCATCAAGAAGTGGGCAAAGCATATGAACAGACACTTCTCAAAAGAAGACATTTATGTGGCCAACAAACATAAAAAAGAAAGCTTAATATCACTGATCATTAGAGAATTGCAAATCAAAACCACAATGAGTTAACATTTCATGTCGGTGAGAGTGGCAATTATTAAAAATTAAGAAACAACAGGTGCTCGCAATGCTGTAGAGAAATAGGAACATTTTTACATTGTTTTTACACTGTTGGTGGGAATGTAAATTAGTTCCATGATTGTGGTAGAGACTGTGGTGATTCCTGAAGAATCTAGAATGAGAAATACCATTGGACCCAGCAATTCCATTACTGAGTATATACATGAAGAAAAATAAATTATTCTGTTATAAGGACATATGCAGGTACACTTATTACAGTACTATTCACAATAGCAAAGACTTGGAGTCAACCCAAATACCTATCAATGATAGACCAGATGAAGAAAATATGGTACATACACACCATGGAATACTATGCAGCCATAAAAAGTAATGAGATCATGTCCTTTGCAGGGACATGGATGAAGCTGGAAACCATCATTCTCAGAAAACTAACACTGGAACAGAAAACCAAACACTGCGTTCTCACTTCCCTTGAAAGCAATGATAACACATGGACACAGGGAGGGGAACAACACACACTGGAGTCTATTGGGGATGTGGGGGTAGAGAGGGCATTAGGATAAATGCATCTGTGGCTTAATACCTAGGCGATAGATTGATAGGTACAGCAAAGCACCATGGCATATGTTTTCCTATGTAATAAACCTGCACATTCTGCACATGTACCCTGAAACTGAAAATTTTTCAAAAAGGTATTTAATATATATATCAGTTTTTTATTCTGATCAAAACCATCAACTATTACCAGGTAATAAAAAGGGTTAAAATTTTTGAGAAAAGCTTCCATTTATAGTACAGATGTTCTTGACTTTTAATATTTAGTAAAAATTTAACTGACTTTTCAATTTTACAAAATTGGGCATCTTTTTCTAATAAAACAAATCAATGGAAGGTAGAGCAAGATGGTGGAATAGAAGGCTCCACCAATCATCACCCCTGCAAGGACATCAATCTAACAACTATCCACACAAAAATAGTACCTAAACAAGAACCAAAAATCAGATGAGCACTCACAGCACCTGGTTTTAACTTATCACTGAAAGAGGCACTGAAGGGGCAGGTAAACAGTCTTGAATTGCTGACACCACCCCCTCCCCATACCCTGGCTGTGACAACATGGTGTGGAGAGTGTTTCTATGTGCTGCAGAGAGGCACAGCCAGCAATTTTGAGGCATTGAACTTAGTGCTGCTACGTTATAGCAGAAAGAAAAACTAGACCAAACTCAGCTGACATCTGCCCACAGAGGGAGCAGTTAAACCAGCCCAAGCCAGAAGGAAAATATGCTGCCAATACCAATGGTGGGAATTTGAGTTCCCAAAAGCCTCACCCTTGTGGTGGTCTAAAGTGCTCTGGGGTATTAAATAAATGTTAAAGGCAGTCTAGACCACATGGAATGCAACTCCTAGGTGAATCCTAATGCTTAACTGTGCCCAGAGTCAGAGGACTGTGGGGCACATGAACTACTGAGATCCAGTCCATGTGGCTAATGGAGTGATGGCATTAGTCCTCATCTATCCCCAGGATGCACAGCTCATTGCTCCAAAAGAGACTCCCTTTCCTTGGAGGAGAGGAGAGAAAGACTGGAGAGATCTTCGTCTTAAATCTCAGCTACCAGCTGTGATAGTCCATTCCCATGCTGCTATAAAAAACTGCCCAACACTGTGTAATTTGTAAAGGAAGAAGTTTAATTGATTTACAGTTCTGCAGAGCTGAGGAGGCCTCAGGAAACTTACAATCATGGCAGAAGGGGAAGCAAAGATGTCTTTTTTCACATGACGGCAGGAAGGAGTAGTGTCAAAGGGGGAAAAGGCCCTTATCAAACCCTGACATCTGTGAGAACTCACTCACCATCATGAGAATAGTAAGGAGGTAACTGCCCCCATGATTTTAAATTACCTCCCACTATATCCTTCCTATGACATGTAAGGATTATGGGAACTACAATTCAAAATGAGATTTGGATGGGGACGCAGAGCCAAACCATCACCAACTCAGTCACAGCAGCATAGGACACTGCACAGAGTTGTGAGGCCCCTTGTCCTGGACCTAGCTCCCAGAAGACATTTATAGACACACCCTGAGACAGAAGGAAAGCAGCTTTCTTGAAAGGAAGGACCCAGTCCTGGCAGGCTTCATTGCTTGCTAACTGAAGAGGCCTTGTATAACAGCAGTGATACCCAGATACTATCTCAAGGGCCTTGGGTGAGACTCTGAGATTTTCTGGCTTTAGGTGAGACAGCAGATCCCCAGCTGTGGCATATACAGGCTGAGACTTCCGCCTAAGAAAAGTGGAGGAAAAAATAAAGGAAACTTTGTCTAGCATCTTTGATACCAGCCACAGGGGAGGTAGAGCACCAAGTGGTGGAAATATCATTCCAACCTTGAAGAATAAATGAAGACCTTCCCTAACAAAAGCCAAGAGATCTCATCAACAGAACACCTGTCCTGTAAGAAATGCTAAAGGGAGTTTTTCAATCTAATAGACAAGGGTGCTAACGAGCAAGAAGAAATCATTTGAAGGTAAATAACTCACTAGTAATAATGAGCATACAGAGAAACACAGAATATTATAACACTGTAGCTGTGGTGTGTAAACTACTCTTAAGTAGAAAAACTAAACAATGAACCAATCAAAAATGATAACTACAGCAACATTTCAAGACATAGAGAGTACAATGAGATAGAGATAGAAATAGAAACAACAAAAAGTTCAAAAGAGAAGGGACAAAGTTAAGGTGTAGAGTTTTAATTTTTATTTCTGTTTGTTTATGGAAACAGTGTTAAGTTGTTATCAGCTTAAAATAATGCATTATAAGATAGTATTTGCAAGCCTCATGGTAACCTCAAACCAAAAAGCATACAACAGACACACAGAAAATAAAAAGCAAGGAAGTAAATTATATCTCCAGAGAAAATTACCTTCACTAAAAGGAAGATAAAAAGGAAAGAAAGAAAAAATAGAAAGCCACAAAACATCCGGAAAAAAATGACAAAATGTAAAGAGTAACTCCTTACTTATCAACAATAATATTGTATATAAATGAACTAAAGTCTCCAATCAAAAGACAAGCAACAAGACCCACTGATCTGTTTCGTACATGTAGACTGAAAATAAAAGACAGGGAAAAGATAAAAAGTAGCTAAAATTATATGAGACAAAATTGATTCCAAGACAAAAAAATTGTAAGAAAATACAAACAATGTTACTATATAATGATAAATGAGTCACTTCAGCAAGAGGTTATAACAATTTTGAATGTATATGCATCCAGCACTATAGAACCCAGATACATAAAGCAAATATTACAGGAGCTAAAGAGAGAGAGAGACTCCAATACAATAATAGCTAGAGACTTTAACACCACACTTTCAGGATCGAACAAATCTTCCAGATGGAAAATCAACAAAGAAACATTGGACTTAAAATGCACTATAGACTAAATGATGTAATAGATATTTCAGAACATTTCATCCAACGGCTACAGAATATACTTTCTTTTCCTCAGCACATGAATTATTCTCAACGGTAAACCATATGTTAGGTCATAAAACAACTCTTAAAATATTAAAAATATTAAAATAATATCAAGCATCTTCTCTGGTCACAATGAAATAAAACTAGAAAACCACAATGAAAGGAATTTTGGAAACTATACAAAGAGGTACAAATTAAACAATATGCTCCTGACTGACCAGTGGCTCAATGAAAAAATACTAAATAGGAAATTTAAATATTTCTTGAGACAAATAATAAAGGAAACACTCAAACCAAAATTTTATAGCTACAAGTACCTATGTTGAAATAAAAGAAAAACATCAAATAAAAATCTTCACAATCTTAAAGAACTAGAAAAGCAAAAGCAAAGCAAACCCAAAATTAGTAGAAGGAAAGAAATAATAAATATCAGAAGCAGTAATAAATGAATTTGAAGTGAATAAAACAATACAAAAGATCAGTGAAACAAAAAGTTGGTTCTTGAAAAGTTAAATAAAATTGTCAAACCTTTAGCCAGACTAATAAAAAAAGAGAGAAGATTCAAACAAATAAAATAAAAAATGTAACAGGAGACATTACAACTGATACTGCAGAAATTCAAAGGCTCATCGGTAGCTACTATAATAAACTATATGCCAATATATTGGAAAATCCAGAAGAAATTGGCAAATTCCTGTATATATACAACCTACCAAGACTGAATCACAAAGAAATTTAAAACCCGAACAGATCAATAATGAGTCACATCATTGAAGCTGTAATAAAAAGTCTCCCAGTAAAGAAAAGCCCTAGACCCAGTGGCTTCATTGTTGAATTCTATCAAACATTGAAATAATAATGCCAATCTTACTCAAGCTATTCCACAAAATAAAGAAGGAGAGAATATTTCCAAACTCATCTTATGAGACCAGTATTATCCTAATATCAAAAGCAAAGATACATCAAAAAGAAAACTACATGTCAATATCTCTGGTGAATATTTATGCAAAAATCCTCAACAAAATACTAGCAAACTGAATTCAACAATACATTAAAAAGATCAGTCATCCATGGACAAGTGGGATTTATCCCAGGAATGCAAGGATCATTCAACATATGTGATTCAATCAATGTGATACATCATATCAAGAGAATGAAGGACTAAAACTGTATAATAATTTCAATTGATGCCAAAAAGCATTTGATAAAATTCAACAACCATTCATGATAAAAAATCTTTAAAAAACTGGGTATAGAAGAAACATACCTCAACATAAAAAGGCCATGTGTGACAGACCCACAGCTAGTACCATGTGGTGGGGAAAAATCCAAAGGGCTTTTCTGCAAGATCTGGAACATGACAAGGGTACCATTTCATCACTGTTATTTAACATTGTACTAGAAGTCCTAGCTAGAGCAATCAGACAAAAGAAAAAAAATAAAAGGCATCCAAATTGGAATGAGAGAAGCCAAATTATCCTTGTTTGCAGGTGATATGATCTTATATTAGGTAAAACCTAAAAACTTCACCAAAAAGACCTAATACAACCGATAAACAAATTAAGTAATGTGACAGAATACAAATCAACATACAAAACTCAGTAGCATTACTATATGACAGCAGTGAACTATCTGAAAAAGAAATTAAAAAGTAATCCCCCTTACAATAGTCACAAAAACAAATACCTAGGAATTAACTTCACCAAAGAAGAGAAAGATCTTTACAATGAAAACCATAAAACGCTGATGAAAGAAATTGAAGAGGACACCAAAAAATAGAAATATATTCCATGATCATGGATTGAAAAAATCAAATACTGTTAAAATGTTCATACTACCAAAAGCAATCTACAGATTCAATGCAATTCCTATTAAAATACCAATGCCAATCTTCAAAAAAGAAAAAAAGCTATTCTAAAATTTATATGGAATCACAAAAGACCCAGAACAGCCAAAGGTATCCTAAACAAAAAGAACCAAACTGGGGGAATTACATTACCTGACTTCAAATTATACTACAGAGCAATAATAATAAAAACAGTATGGTACTGGCTTAAAAACACACACATAGACCAATGGAACAGAATAGAGAACCCAGAAGCAAATTCACACACCTACACTGAAGTCATTTTCAACAAAGATGTCAGGAAAATACAACAGGAAAAACAGAGTCTCTTCAATGAATTATGCTGGGAAATTTGGAAATCCATATGCAGAAGAATGAAACTAGAGCCCCATCTCTTACCACATACAAAAATCAAATCAAAATGGATAGAAGACTTAAATGTAAGACTTCAGACTATGAAACTTCTATAAGAAAACATTAGGGATACTCTCCAGGACATTTGTCTGGGCAAAAACATCTTGAGTAATATCTCACAAGCATAGGCAACCAAAGCAAATATGGGCAAATGAGATCACACCAAGGTAAAAAGCTCCTGCACTGTGATGGAAATAATCAACAAATTGAAGAGACCACCCACAGAATGGAAAAAGAAATTCAAACTACATATCTGACAAGGGATTAATAACCAGAATATATGAGGAGCTCAAACAACTTTTTTTAATCTAATAATCTGATTTTAAAATGGACAAAATATTAGAATAGACATTTTTCAGAAGAAGCTATCCAAATGGCAAACAGGCACATGAAAAGGTGTTCAATGTCATTGATCAAATCAAAACTAAAATGGCATATCATCTTACCCATTTAAAATGGCTTTTATCAAAATGTTGGGCAATAACATGCTGGTAAGGATGTAAAGAAAAGGGAATTTTCATACATTGTTGGTAGGAATGTAAATTAGTGTAACCACTATAGAGGACACTTTGGAAGTTTCTCAAAAACTAAAAATAGAGATACCATATGATCCAGGAATTTCACTGCTGAGCACATACCAAAAAGAAAGGAAATCAATACATCTAAGAGTTTATCTGCTCTCCTATGTTTGTTGCAGCACTGTTCACAATAACCAAGATTTGGAGGCAACCAAAATGTTCCTTAACAGATGAATAGATAAAGAAAATGTGTTACTTACACACAATGGAGTACTATTCAATCATAAAAAATTGAAATCCAGTCATTTCCAACAACATGGACTGCATAGAAGGCCATTATGTTAATTAAAATAAACCAGGCATAGAAAGACAAGCTTTGTGTGTTCTCACTTATTTGTAGGATCTAAAAATCAAAACAATTGAATTCATGGAAGTAAAGAGTAGAAAGATGGTTATC